GGGGGGGGGGGTCGTCCTACTTGCGTCATTAAAAAAAAAAAAAAAAAACAAGGAGGAAATGATCTTGCTGCTCAGTGAGCAAAGCTCCCGGGTGGCCGCGTATGGCTTTACGCATTCAATACCAACGTTTGGATGTGGAATTATAAGAGTGGAGCTCAAGTGGAAGATCCAGCTTCATGTTCGGTTGCACCGAATCGAGCGTACACGTTTTGTGGTCAAGCTTGAATCGAGTCGCGTCCTTTTTCCAAACGTTAACATTTGGACCCAAAGGATCTCGTCACGCACACGGGCCGTAGCCGACGGTGATGTAAGACGTGAGCGGCGGCGACCAATTTTCAACCATGTTTTTGTTTGTGGTCGCTTGTTCTCGGAGGGGAAAGTCGATGTTTTTCTTTCCTTTCACTTAAGAAAATGTGAACGTGAAGCCGCAAGAGCCGAACCCGAGCCGGCGAATTTGATGTTGCGCAAAGCGCGGCCACCTCACGTCTCCAAAAGTCAAAAATAAAGCGCTTTGCTTTCTTTTCATCACGAGGAGAAAAAGCATGCGAAGGTCTGAGCTGTGAGACCAGCCAAAGTTAACAAGCCACAAGTAAACAACGTTGGCGCAAAAGAACCGGATGCTACCATTATAATGTAAGATACTAAGCTAGCTTATTGCGGCTAAACGTCCTCCCTCAACTTTGGAGTCACATTTTTCTTTCTTTTTATTTTGGGTCGGAAACGCAACATGTGATGAAAACGACGAGTAAGAATGCAAGATGCTAGCTGTTATTTTAGCGAGAATCCCTGCGGCGCACATCTGAAGCTAGCTTCATTAGCTTGAACTCAAACAATCACCAGTTAACAGGTGAACAACACGACGCTAAGCAAAGTTGTGATTAGAAAGGAGACGCCACAAGTCAACGCTAGCGAGTTTAATGTCGCTAGGTGCCTTCCCTACGTAAAAGCCAAAACGTTCTTGTCATTTGTCACGGTCAAGATGAACAGATGAAGACGGTCTTTCCTTGGTGTCATTTGACGACACGGGTCGAACTATTTGTACGACAGGATAATCATGTCCAAAATAATGATAGAATAGTCCTTCCTCTTTGGAGTGTTGGCCCTCTTGAAATTCTCAACAAGATGCAAAGGCTCCAATTTGAGCTTCGACGGCAGCCTGACGCTTCAACACGCCGGGGAATAAAATCCTGTGGCATTCCAGGGCAGTGAAGGAAAGAAAAAAAAAAAAAAAAGATTCCTTGCTCTTGCTCGTGCTCTCTCGACTGCTTCCTGGCCATGTTTTTGTTGGATGAGATGCCGCAATGCTAAAAGTGGAGATACACTACAAGGCAACAGTATTTGCACACCAACGAGAAACGCGACCTTCGTTAGCTTGAACTAAAACAATCACCAGTTAACAGGTGAACAACACGATGCTAAGCAAAGCTGTGATTAGAAAGGAGAAGTCACAAGTCGACGGTAGCGAGTTTAATTGTCGCTAGATGCCTTCCCTACGTAAAAGCCAAAACATTCTTGTCATTTGTCACGGTCAAGATGAACAGATGAAGACGGTCTTTCGTTGGTGTCATTTGACAACACGGGTCGAACTATTTGTACGACAGGACAATAATGTCCAAAATAATGATAGAATAGTCCTTCCTCTTTGGAGTGTTGGCCCTCTTGAAATTCTCAACAAGATGCAAAGGCTCCAATTTGAGCTTCGACGGCAGCCTGACGCTTCAACACGCCGGGGAATAAAATCCTGTGGCATTCCAGGGCAGTGAAGGAAAGAAAAAAAAAAAAAAAAGATTCCTTGCTCTTGCTCGTGCTCTCTCGACTGCTTCCTGGCCATGTTTTTGTTGGATGAGATGCCGCAATGCTAAAAGTGGAGATACACTACAAGGCAACAGTATTTGCACACCAACGAGAAACGCGAGAAAAGGTGAAGGAAAAGCTCAGGTGTTGCCGCTGCGCAAAAGAGCGTGCAGCGCTTGCTTTTCGTTTTCCCCATGACACGGTGGACCAAAAAAACGATTTGCCACTTGATTTTGGTGAAGTGATTGTGTCGTTTCTAGCGCACCAGCACTCCTCCTGACCCTGCAAAACCACACATCGGCCGATCCCCGAGATTGTTTTCAAACGTAGGGAGCAAAAGTGGTCCGGAAAAGAAGGGAGAAATTCACAATAGACTCCCGAGAAATATACCAAAGCGCATCAACCAAGTATTTGTACTCGGATGCTCGGCAGCCCCGATGTTAGCGATAAGGACCAAAAGCGGAGGTTGCCAGGTTCACATTGGACTCCGGGGGGGGGGAGGCACGAGTAAAGAAAGAAAAAAAAAAAAAAAAGATTCCTTGCTCTTGCTCGTGCTCTCTCGACTGCTTCCTGGCCATGTTTTTGTTGGATGAGATGCCGCAATGCTAAAAGTGGAGATACACTACAAGGCAACAGTATTTGCACACCAACGAGAAACGCGAGAAAAGGTGAAGGAAAAGCTCAGGTGTTGCCGCTGCGCAAAAGAGCGTGCAGCGCTTGCTTTTCGTTTTCCCCATGACACGGTGGACCAAAAAAACGATTTGCCACTTGATTTTGGTGAAGTGATTGTGTCGTTTCTAGCGCACCAGCACTCCTCCTGACCCTGCAAAACCACACATCGGCCGATCCCCGAGATTGTTTTCAAACGTAGGGAGTAAAAGTGGTCCGGAAAAAAAGGGAGAAATTCACAAGGGAGAAATTCACAATAGACTCCTGAGAAATATACCAAAGTGCATCAACCAAGTATTTGTACTCGGATGCTCGGCAGCCCCGATGTTAGCGATAAGGACCAAAAGCGGAGGTTGCCAGGTTCACATTGGACTCCGGGGGGGGGTAGTCACGAGTCCAAGCGGACCTCCGGCGTCGTTTGGCACTGACTCGGTCGCACACCGCAGCCCGCCGGGATGCGATGCGGTCGCCCCGATCACATGGTGGGCAAAAGCGGGGGGGGGAACGCGGAGGGGCCGGGGGGGTCAGCCCAAAGCTGCCTGGGAGTCAGACAGAAGATTAGGAACCCGATCAAAGCCGCCTTGGAGTGCACCGAAGCGGACGGGGCACGATGGAGAAAGTATTTCAAAGTCCCTGGCAAGTGAAAATAGATGTCTTGTCAATTTGACATACCGCAGAAGACGACCCTGCCAGAAGATCACCAACAATAAAATGGCTTAGAAATTGTTTGAGGGGGGGGCAGAGGACAAAAGAAATCCCAAAAATCTCCACTCTCAACGGAGGCCACGCCGGCCCAAAGCCCCCACTTGGGATGCCGCCTGTCAAGTTGGACTTGACTGGACCTCCTTCGCTCTTCCCCCGTTTTCTCTGACACGCGCACACTCGCAGCCGACAACGAGGAGCTCTAATGCAGCCGAGCTGGCGGACCGCCCGAAGGGAAGAAGTATTTTGGGCTGGTAGCTCTTGCGAGCCGGCCGACCGCACGTCGCAAAATGCGGTCGGCCGGCTCGCTATATCGCTAAGTCCTCCACTGCTCCTTCACGCTAGTAAGTAAGAAAAGATTTGAGATGTACTTTAGGTGTCCTGCCGCAAAGACCTCACTTTTGTGGTGGTGTCGGAAAAAGGACCTGGAGCGCGACTTTTTTAGCGCGACTGTCTTCCGGTTTCAATGCGCAAGCGTGGCAGCGTGCGGCATGTGAAGCGAGTCGTGACATCATCGTTTCGGGGCGATCGCGTGAGGGGATGTCGGGCTCTCCGGTGGAGGCTTGCGGGGTGGAGTTCTGTCCACACACAGAGTCTGGCCAGCAATCGGCAAGAGGCCTCACACAATACAGTACTTGCTCTTTTTTTTTTTTTTCCTATCTGATGTTGAGGGTGAGAATTTTCCCAGCCCCGCAAGCTGGACTCCGTGCTCGACTCGTCGCTGCACTTCCAGCCTGATGGCTCCTGACATTGTGCCGTCAGACCTTCTGAGAAAGCCAACGACGGAAGCGCAGGAAGCCGCCGGCCTCGCCGCTATTGTGAAGACGGAGAAAGCGGACGTTCTGCCGGAGACGATACGCGGCGGAGGGAAGCGGACGTCTGAGGGCCCCGATCGCGGCGGAAGGCAGATAAAGAAGCCAGGGAGCGCTCGCGCTTTGCCGCGCGCTCGCGGCCGCCCTCCGCAATCGCCCGCCGGCGCCGCCATCTGCGAGGAGCTCACGCCGGCCGGCGACTTTTTGGAGGCTCCGAAACACAAACGACTACGAAGTCGACGCCACCAAGGCCAATTCCATCAAAGCGCCGCTTTCGGCACGGGGAGGGATTTGTCCCTTTCTGAAAACGGATCTGGGCCAGACGTGACCGGAGAGAACCAGACGCAACCCGATATCGCCAGATATGAGCAGACGTGACCAGACGTGTCGGGACGCGGCGGTGGAAATTCGATTCCTCGAAATGGCGAGGTGGCAAACAGCTGCGCTCACTTTCTCCTTTATTTGGGGATTTGCTCCGTTTCCAAAAGTGCTTAAAACAGGCTGTTGGTGTCGTCTTTTGCTCCGCCCTCCTAATAAAGTCAGCGCCCAGGCGCTCCCTGAACTTAAGTCAACTAAACCGGCGCGCCAGATGGAGATTTTCTCTGTCACGCTCCTTAGATCAGCGCCGATTATTCGCCGCTGCCCGCTTCCTGTTGAGCCCGCCAACACCAACACATGGCCTAGCACGGCGCATTTCCTACGCCGCGCGTTTAATACGCCCCGTTTAACGTTTCATGAGCAATGCTAACTCACCGCATGGCTCGTGTTGACAACGGGCGGCTTTCTGACATGCCGTTTGCCGTTCGCTCCACAAACGGCCTCCTCTACTCTCACAGTGGTGAGACGCACTTTCCGCAAGCTTCCACAACACATATCGGGTGCCTCAACTTGTCTGGCTTCTCTCCCTTCCAACCAACGTCAATGGAGACTCACTTCGGCTCCTAATCTTTATCTTCTTCTCAAAAACTGTGCAACTCGCAAATCTAAAGTGACGTCACGTGGCCATCGACTGACATCTGCTTGTCATTTCAGTCACGTAGAAGCCTGAATTTCGCAGATGGCGGAGGCAGGAAGTGCTCGGATTCCGCTTGGCCAACTGAAACGTCCAGCTAGCTTAACGTTCAGGCAATCGAAACATGCTAATGCTGTCGCGTGAGGAGTAAAAACATGCCAGATTAGCTCATGCTAACAACTGGAAATCACAAAAACCAATGGACCCTGAGTCATGTTCGTCTGTGGTGGGTAAAGAAGAGAGCACCTATCTTTTTTATACGCAAACACACACACGCACACGCACGCCACTGATTGTTAGCAGATTATAGGGGGGGGGCGGGGGGGGGCTTGGTCGTCCATCCATCCACCTTTTTACGCTCTGACAGACAAAAGATTGCATCGACTTTTACCTCATTCTTTGTGTGTGGGTGTGGGTGTGTGTGTGTGTGTGTGTGTGTGTGTGTGGGGGGGGGGAGATTTTTCCAAAGATGTTTAAGTGGGGGTGGAAAGGGACTCATGCCTAAGACACCCCCAGTCCTCCTCCCTTTCAGTTCTTGATATAGCAGCTGGTGTGTGTGTGTGTGTGTGTGTGTGTGTGTGTGTGTGTGTGTGTGTGTGTGTGTGCAGCACACTTTGTGTGTGTGTGTGTGTGTGGGTGTGTGCCCAATTCTAGCAGTGTTTTGGGATCATTTGGGAAACAAAAGGCTCATGCAGTCCAAATAGGGCAGAGTGCTAACAGTGAAGTCATTTAATGGGGTATCATAGATACCAACTGTATCATAGAAATGAAAACAACAACAACAAAAATCGCACCAGATGGGGGGCGTGATGAGGAAACACAGAATGCCATTTAGCGGAGCGTAAAACCTCCAGCAAGGCTGCTGAACTGAGTCAGACTCAAAGAGTTGGATTTTATGGATGCTCATGTTCCACTCCAGCGCTGAAAGGGGGCAGTAACGACGTGCATAAAAAAAAAAAAAAAAAAAAAAAAAAAAAAAAAATCTGTCGGCGTAAAAAGCAGGATCGAAGAGGAATTGACGTTCAATCATCTTCTGCAAAAATAAAGGCTGGTTTCAAATTCTTCCTATTCTCATTCTACTTTGTGACAATTTATAAAACCGGTGTGCCGCCACCTAGCGGTGGACTGGACTTTCACCCAAACTTAACAGGTGTCAGAACAACATTGACTTGTTGACGGGATAAAGACAGGAATAAAAAAAAAAAATTGCAAAACGGCCTCGAAGCCACGGGTGACGAAGGAGGCGGGCTCAACTGTAAAGATTATTTTTGCCAAGGCGTTGTGTGCGAAGAGCCCATTCGCGGTCACTCAGGGGGGTCGACAATATGGCCGACGACTCAAGGACCAACGTTGGATTCCGCTCGCTCCAAATGCTCCCGCTGCCCCGACGTGAAGATGCAATGATGCTGTCCATCACGTCTTGTCATAAAATACACACAAGGCCAAAGCCCCCCTTTTCCCTCCCTGTAGTCCTCAGAGGCCTGTTGCCATGGTTACGGCTGAAAGATGACTTCGACCTATCGTACCCCAACCCTTGTGTGCGCGCACACACACACACACACACACACACACACACACATGCATCCAGATGACATCATTGCGGGCGCCCTTCACACGAGCCACAGGGTGACAAATGTTCCAACCTCCCCCACACACGCACGCACGCACGGGAGTGGGAGGTGGTGATCAAGTGCCCCCCGCCCCGCTTCCCCTCGCTTCCCTCATCGCCATGGCGACCGTCATCTCTTCGCATTGCGTTCACTGACACGTCTGTTTCTTCAGGGAATCGGGATTGAGAAAATTCCCGGGCGTGCGTCTGACGCCATCAATAATTCGCACCGACACCTTTTTTGTTTTTTTTTTTTTGGCCAACAGTCAAACGTTTAAACAGAGAGACAAGGCCACCTGATTAGGGACACCCCTCTGATGCAATCCGATGCAAGGTTTAAGTTTTCGAATTGGAGTTACAAGGCCGTTTTCGGGCTTCAAGCTCGGGCTTGGGTTTCCAACAACGGCGACGTTTTTACTGCAAGCGCTCCGAGGCTGCAAAACGGCGCACTCGCAAGAAGTCGCACACGTTTCAAGAAGCTGGAGAAAATTGTTCTGAGCAAAAACGAGCAGTAATTTTTGCATTTGTTTTGAGAAATAAGTTGTCGTTTTTGTTTCGAGAGAGGCACCTTTTCGGTGCAAAAAAGTCTAAATGTATGTAAACGCAAGCATGATCACCAGAACTAGAACCCACGAGCACGACCTTTGACCACCAGCGGAGAAGTTAGCGCAAGGGTGCGGAAGTCTGACGGTACCTGTAGGAAGCAGGTCCCGGGCGGAGCGTTTTCCTCGATGGTGGCGTTGTAGAAGCTCCTGGAGAAGACGGGCGCGTTGTCGTTGGCGTCCTGCAGCACCACGTCCACCCGCGCCGTGGACGACAGCGGCGGCCGCCCGCCGTCCGTCGCCACCACCGTCACGCTGGGCGAGGGCTCCGACTCGAAATCCAGGACGCTGGCCGTGGTGATGATCCCCGTCACCGCGTCGACGGAGAACCAGTCCGAGTGGGAGTGCTTGCCCTTCAGGAGACTGTAGCGGATTTCGCCGTTGGGACCCTGGTCCTTGTCCCGGGCGGTGACTTGAAGGACAAAAGATCCCGGGTAGACCGCCTCGGGGATGGTCTGTCTGTAGGCCCGCTGGTCAAACAGAGGCGGGTTGTCGTTGACGTCCGTCACCCGGATGGTGAACGAGGACTCGGCCCGCAGGGGGGGCGTACCCGAGTCGGTGGCCATCACGCGCAGGTCGTAGGAGTCGCGCTCCTCCCGGTCCAGTACCTGGTCCACGTAGATCAGGTAGATGATACTGTCCTTGGTGGTGAGCGCAAACTTTCCGTCGCCGCCCTCCAGCGATACGTTGACGTTGGCGTACTCGCCGTAGTCCGGGTCGGTGACGGAGATGCGGGCCACGTACTGGCCCGGCTGGGCGCCCTCCGAGATCTTCGGGGAGCCGTCCTCGCTCAGGAAAATGATGGTCATGGTGGGCTGGTTGTCGTTGTAGTCGCGCACGTGAATGGTCACAAAAGTGTTGGTCACCTGGGGAAGGAAGATGAGCATTTGTCAGCGTGCGTTCGGGAAAAACCGGAGCTCTTCCGCTCAAAGGAATTTCGAGCGCCAGCCATTCCGCTGTCTGTCTGTACGTGTCCGACAATTGACCGTCGATCTGTAGTTGCCTCGCAAGCGGATCGTAGACCGGAACCGGCGTTTTACCTCCGGGTGGCTGGCGTTGTCCCTGGCCTGGACCACCAGCTCGTGCACTCGCTTAAGCTCGTAGTCCAGCGGTCTGTTCAGCGTGATGACTCCAGACTTGAGATCCATGACAAAGTAGCGCTCAGGATCACTTTGCCGCCGGTTGATCTCATAGAGGACCAGGCCGTTGTCACCCTCGTCCTGGTCTGCGGCGAAGACCTGCAAAAAAAAAACGCAGTGTTACCTAGTCAACCTTGCATGAATCAAACACCCGAGCCAGAGGTGACTCGATTCTGTTTGCAGCGACCTGGAGGATGCTGCTTCCTTGGGGAAGACTCTCCGAAATGATGGCGTGGTATCGGCTCTGGTTGAAGACCGGCGCGTGGTCATTGATGTCCGTCACGGCCACCTCCAGAGTCATGGAACCAACCCTCCTGGGCGAGCCCCCGTCAAAGGCCTCCAGGACCAGAGTGTAAGCCGAACGTTTCTCCCGGTCCAACGGCCCGCTGATGACCAGGTCCAGATTCAGCGCCTTATCGGACGCCCTCTTGGTTTCCAAACGGAACACCTGACCCACGTTTCCCTCCCGGATGGAGTAGCCCTGCGTTGCGAACTGGTCCTTGTCGGCGTCGCCGGCCGGGTCCAGGGAAAAGCGGGTGCCCACGGCCGTGTGCTCGGGTATCTTGAGATGAGCTTTGCTTTTGGGGAACTCTGGCGCGTGGTCATTGATGTCGTTGACGGTGACGGCCACTTGGATGGTGACGCCCGTCATGGTGACGGCGATGAAGCTGTAGCGGTCTCTCCGCTCGCGGTCGAGGCGGCGCGCCGTGGTGATGATCCCGGTGGTCTCGTCGATGTTCAGGTCGCTGCCCGCGCCCGTGCCTTCGTGGTCCGAGATGAAGTAGAGGCTGGCCGACTCGCCGGGCGGCAAGCCGGCACTGATGTCCCCGACGACGGTGCCCGCCGGCTGCTCCTCATCCAGCTGCAGCTCCAGCGCCCCCGACAGGGCGGCGGGCGACCGGAGCAGGACGAGGACGACGGGTAAGCAGATGAGCGGTCGCCACGCAAGGGAGCGCAAAGGCGGTCCGCCGGGCCGCCCTCGCGACCCTTCGCTTCTCACAGGCATGACTCAGCTACACCTGAAAACAAAGACAAGAACCCATGAGCGAAACCTGACACGAGTCAGCCAGCGGTCCCATTGTTTGTCTCTTCGTTCCCCACGATCGAGCGGCGCCCAGTCCATCCTTTGTGTGAACGTTCCCTGCGACTCACCGGCGACCGGTCCGCAGTCAGTCCGCGGATTGGCAGGCAAGATGTCGAAATGGGCAACGACTCAACTGAGCTGTCCATGAGCTTGTCGACATGATCTCTCTGGCGATTGGCTGGCGACGCCTTCGACCGGACTGGAATATGCACAACGGGATCCGCAGCGGAACGTTTCTCTTTCAAGCTCGTGATTTACGGAGCCAGAATATTTGCGATCAAAGCGGCACGCGGCGGCGACGTGCATCCGGCCGTAGCCGTGACGGAGACGGCGAGCCTCCCGCCGCCTCCGTCCTTACGCTACGGCGCTACAGAAATAGAAACGCTTGACGGACGCGTGCCGTCTCGCGACACGCCGTCACGGGTGGGCGCCGATCCGCTGGAAATCCTTCCAATCAAAACAGCCGGCGAGCTCGCGTTCGCCGCCTGTGGGCCAAAGGTGTCGGCCCGGCGGCGCTCATCTGCTCGACAGTTCCCCGCGGCGCAAATAAAATTTGGACTCTGAGCACCGGGAATGTCCTGCACATCTGCCGCGCATCTCGCCGAGGCTAACTGCTAACTTAGGGTTAGCATTGTCATAAAGGATTAACCCCCCCAACCACCAAAAAAAATGAGACAATTTCCCTTTTTTTCCCTGCTGTTCTTTTTCTGAAAAAAAGATGAACTTGCTCTATTTGCAGCATCCCTCACTTTGACTTCTTCCCGATGTTGTTGTTGAGCCAAAACAGTGACCAACCTGAGCAATGCTGTTTTTGGGTTTTTTTTTTTTTTTTTTTTTTTTTTAGCTGGAGAGTAGTCATTTTGGCAACCATGTGAACAAGAAAAACAAAGAAAATCCATTAGCAGGGCAAGACTTGGTCTTTTGGTTGTTATTATTTTTGGGGGACGCGCTCCTTGAGATATTGCGAGCAAACACAAAGTGTGCTTCGCTCAGCAACGCCAGCGCCGGACTTCCCTCTGAGCGTGACCACATCTATTATGCTCGTTTTAGCAGCCCCCCCCCCCCCGCAAGGAGGCTCCATTAATAATCCGTCTATGACTCCCCGGGGAAGGCGCGGACGGCGGCCCCTCCACATCTGGAGGCCGCGGACGCCACCGCACTTCTCGTTTTTTGGCGGGGGGGTTTTCACAAGCATTGCTGAAAAAGCAGGCAAGCGCACGCAGGACACGTGAGGACGGCGTGTCGGGAAAGCGTTTCAGTGGCACTCGTCAAGATCGCGCTCAGGGTTGCGTCGTGGTTGTCGACGACTTCATCGAGGAGAAGAGCTCCCTCTAGTGGTGCGACGCATTCTGTCACGCTGTGCAATCGTGATGGGACGGGAATCCAAGTGGTTTTGGACAAGAACAAGCCTGTCGTGAACCACATGCTGCTTCACCAAGTCCAAAGATGTAAGATTTCGACCGCTTTGATCTGTATCTCTTTTTGTGCTTTTTTTTTTCCCCTCCTCGCACACAAATGTCTTCGTACATACTCACAAGCAAGCCCAGAGGCGGCCTGCTGTTCTTTTTCCACTTGTTTGGTTTGGCCGAAGGGAGCGCGGTCGCTTCTGCAGAAAGCATTTGGCCGGCCGATTGGCCGGCCGGCCTCAGTCGAGCCCATCTGGATTTGGCAGCGTGCTGGGAGAGAAAAGCTTTTCCGATCGCCCGCAACGGAAACTAACTGGTCGGCGCACTCGTGCGACAAATCGAAAATGATTCCGGGGGGCCGCCGGGCCACAAATGACGCGGCAGAGACCGCGTGGAGCCCTACCGGGACGCCTCTTCACGAGCGCTGAAGGCAGACAAACGCTTGCTCGCTTTTTCTTGGACGGATGGCGATCGCAAGTGGAGCCTTCATGAAAAACGCATGAGGGGGACATCCGAGCCGAGAGAAATCAATCGTGTTACTACCCCCCCACCCCCCACACCCCTCTCACTACAGGCTGCAGTCATGTTACAATTTGGGGGAAAGCGGGGCTTTGAAATGTTCAACCACTGATAGCAAGACGCCGGCGTCTTTCTCAATATTTTTCAGTTGTTCCAATGTTGAAACGCCGCAAAACTGCAGCCCGTTGCCGCCGGGGACACGTTTCGGCCTTTGTCGGCGGGACAAAGGCGCCTGCCTCCATCGCTTCCGTTGGCGACCGCGGGGACGAACGGCAGCTGCCATGGCAACGGCGCCTCCCCCTGAGCGGCGCCGCTGTGTGCCTTCGAGCGCGCGCGTGCGGGTGCGCGCGGGCGCCGGGTCACTCTTCCGACGCTCGCCTCACTCGGACTTGGCGGGCCCAAGAAAGCAAATCCGGGAAAAAAACAACAAGCGCGCCACCACCAGAGACGGGGCAACAATGCTCGTGTCAACCGCGATGATGACAAGTGGCCCCGGTGAGGACGTGGCGACCCCGGGCGGGCAATTCGGAAACACGCTTCACCCGCTTGTTTTCCCACACTGCGAGCGCGGGTATCGATTGAGTGCATGGCCGGCCGAAAAGAAAGGTCGCAAACTCGATGGGGCTTTTGGTTGTCGGCCAACAAAAGTTTGTGGGAAGGAAACCGTGCGAGCACGATGTGATAGGATAGGATAGGATATATTTATGTATTCATTTATTTGTGTATTCATTCCAAAAAGACATTCTCGGGAACAAAAAGCAATTCCATTTGCATTTTGGGGGACATTAAATGGACTGTATATAATTTCCACTTTTATCCCCTCTCGCGCTGTGTTCGTTGTTTGTACGTTTCCGCTAAATCTGACTGACTTTTTTTTGGTATATTGTGTTCTATTAAAAAAAGAAAAAATAGATCACTCTTTGGCCCCTAACAAAAAAAAAAACAAACCGAGCACAGCATAAATAAAAGGGCGTCCATCTTCAGCCTGACACTCTCGATTGTTTTTGTGCACACACACGCGCGCGCGTACGAGGCGGCGCACAAACAGCCCCGTGTTGACTTTTGCTGATAAGCTCCACACCACCACTCGAGCGGAGTCTCTCTTGAAATCAATCGAGGACACTATTAAAAGTGGCCAATTCCATGCCGTGCAGTAGGTGGCGCCGCACAAATGGCTTGGGGCACGTTTCTGGCTGCCCGCACACATTTCCACACAGAGGCAAACGACAAGACTGGCAAGGAGCTGCTGCGGGGCGGGGCGCGGCTCACATCGCCCGACACGGCAGCCAATCACATTCCAGCCCCTGATCCCACTTTAATGGGTCACGCCCCTTAAAGGCGCATCCGCAACCAATAAGGAGCGATGGCATTTCAATTCGATTCGGTTATAAGTCAAGGTCCCGCTGTATGGACAAAAATATTGGGCCACGGAAGACATTGCGACATCTGCACGTGTGCAACCTCGCAGGAAATGCTTTTGCACTTGCTTCCTTTTTTTTTTTCATGGCGCAAAGCAAGGCCCGTAAAAGAAGCCGCGGAAGAGCGTCACAGGTGGACATCTTTGGCATGAGATCCGTCATTTTGGGTCGGCTGCTTTTCCCATTTTTCCTCTCCAGATGTTTGGGTCTGGTATGTTCTTCAGCTGTCCCAATACTTGTGAGCGTATCTCGCCCATCAGCTTTGCACTTCCCCGATGCTCGTGTTTTACCCCGCTTGCTGTCCCGCTTGCTACTTGTCCGCTCCCCGGGGTCATCTCAACGCTTGCGTCCATCCGTGCCTTTGCAGTTACCGTGGCTGTCCCGATACTTTTTGGCCGCTCCTTCTTGGCATCCCAATACTTGTGTCCGCCGCTTCGTCGGCGAGGCAAAATCGGGGTCCGGTCTGGAGCACAGAGACACCTCGCACGGGAGATCCGCTTCCCGGACCTTTTTCCAGATTTGGCGCACGAGTCAAGGGCAACGAAACGGAGCCTTTTATCGGTGCCGCCACCCCATCGCCGAGGAAGCGGCGCAGGGTCTTACATTCATTGGAGGGACGTTCTTCTGGGTGGCTGTCCCCGACGTCTAGCTGATTGCGATGCAGAAAAAGAAAGCATTCACACAATCCACACAAGGGGAAGCGAGGGGGGGGGCCAAATAGGCCAATTCCATAAGAGGGGCCCCCGCCTGCGCGCGCGTGTCCGAGTCAGGGGAGAGCGCACACGTTGGCTTGTTGTCGCCAAATCTTCTTTTGTGTGGTTGTTGTTTGAATCCGTCTTCTCTTGTCGCTGCTCCAGCATCCGCACTGGAGCCGAGCGAGGTTCGCCGAGCGACCGACTGGCGGACTGGCGGAGCCCACTCCCACCCCCACTCCCCCCTCCTCCTCCTCCTCCAGCAGCAGCAGCAGGCCCACGCCCCTTCCTCCTCCTCCTTTTGGGTAGCCGGCACCAAAGTGGGGGTGGCGGCAGGGGGTTGGGGGTGCAGTGGGAGGAGGGAAGGAGGCGAGGGAGCGATGGAGAGACTTTGGTCCCCCCCCTCGCCCAGCTCGGCGCGATGGAAGAAAACGTGCCGAGAGAGACAAAAAGGCTGCTCGGGAGGAGCGAGCTGCAAATTCAAACTTGGCCGCTCTGGCTGCAAAGCGCACGAGCCAACTGGACGCCGTTGACGGCTTAGGTCACAGCCAGCAATTTATTTTTCTTGGCTTTCGAACATCTCGGTGTTTTCTCATCCAGGTTTTGCATCTTTTCCTCCACGTCTTTTTTGTTTTTCGTTTAACAGTTCGAGCGTCCCCACGTCGCTTGAAAGGCCTCGTGCTCAATCCTCCGACAGAACGTCGTCAACTGCAAGTGTTCCAATCAAGAGCCGATGATTTGAAGGTGGACACTTAGCGGAACGACGATGCGTCTTTCAGTTAGCCACTCAATGGGGTTTCAGATTATATGTTAGCATTAAGCTAATGGAGTTTTGTGAGGCAAAATGTCATCTGGATTGAGAGGACATTTGGGCGTGTCACTCACCGCTGCTTTTTTTTTTTTTTTTTCGCATCAGATTTCCTGTCAACTTGAACTAGAAGTGACAAACAGCTTGAAGCAAGCACACTTTGCCTCTATTTTGCAGAACGGTGTGCGTGTCTTTTTTTAGGGGGGAGGTTTCTCCAAAGTCTCGGGTCTTGCACTTGATGATAAAAGGACCGTGCCGCAGTTTGGACAACAGACGGTCGACAAACAAGCAAGGCTTTCCTCCCGTGCGCCGTGTGTCCTCGGAGTGTGCGCAAATGTGCCGCGTGTGTCTGCGTGGACACTTGCCACGGCCGCGCAATTATTCGACACGACGCTAAGCAACACCAGATGGCGAAGGCCCGACACGTTTGGCGGCGGCGACTTCCCCCCCACGCCCCCCACGGCGACCCACGCAACTATTCCCGTCATTAAAAAAATAATAATAAAATAAAATAAAATAAAAATCTCACCCCGTGCCAATATCTGGCCTCCGAGGGCGCGCGCTCCTTCGGTTGTCCCCGTCGGTTCCCGGACGCATCTTGTCCCAGCTGCGACGCCGTCCGTCAAGGGCGAAAACTGACGAAGGCGGCAATTTGCCAGCTGCGAAAGACAGAAAAAAAGAAAAGCGTTGGAATGTTTGTGAAGATCCACCACCGCGTGAAGAATCTTGGCCGCGTCTTTGAGGATCCGCTCACGCCCACAACGCTGACTGCTGCATTTTTCAAAGACCGACAGACGGTCAAAGAAGCGCTCGAGAATGCGACGCGAGTGGCACTCGGCGGGGAATCGAAACTTTTCCAAAACGACCGAAGCCGTCTCCTTTTTGTCCTTTTGAGTCCAAGTCGAAACAATGGCGCCAGATCTTGGTAGTTTCTGGTGGTAGCGATGCTGCTTCAGTGTGGCTTCACCCCAAAATGGCCGACTCGCGGTGTCTTTTGGGGCAGAGCTTCTGAAACTTGTTTGCCGGGAGGCTCACGACAGGCACGATGAGCAAATATCATGTTGCTCAGCCAAAGCCAAAGGTTTTGGGGCTGAATTTTCAAATCGTGATTTGAATCCCCCCCTTGGAAATCAGCCTCCAATATTCGTTTCAAACCAAAATGACTTCCTGTGATTAGTCGGGAATTTCTTTTCGTTACGCTTGGGCGGTCATTTTAATCCGCAGTCATTCCACTTTAATCTGTGAAAAGGAGTCAGAGTTCACTCCTTGGCCCGAATGACTTTACATTCGCTTGAAAATAAGATAAGAAAACCTTTATTGTCTCACAATGGAGAACGTCGCATCCCAAATTGATATCCCATCATAGCGATCTTTGCTAACGTTGGTTGCTCGCTTTGGTTGAGCCACCCAGTGGGACGGAATGGCGTACCTAATGAAGTGTCCGCTGGCTGCGGGTCTTATCAGGCAGGAATTGGCTCGAAAACAGGAAGATGCAAAGAGGAATTCCTCTGTGCGGCTTCCGGGTCAAGAATCCATTTCGGGTTCTCACGTCAAAGTCAGCGAGATCAGCGGCGCGCTTCCCGTCTTGTCCTCGGCTCAACACGCACGTCTTCATTTGTTTTTCCAAAAACAAATAAATAAATAAATAAATAAAGGAATTCTTCTTCGTCACTTAACTGCCATTTGAAGGGGACCAGTTTGAAAATTGGGACCGGAATGATTTTTGTTGCTGTTGTGTTGTGATGAAAGACGAATGCCGGTGGAATGAGTGACGATGTTGTTGTTAAATTCCCACACAATCCGGCAGTTCATCCCCAACATTTTGTTTCGTCATTCACGTGGAGACATATTTCGACAGGCAGATTAAAATAAAAAAAAAAAAAAGAGCGCACTAGGTAGCGGCTTCAAACTGTCACGGAGGCGAGTCCGAGCAAACAGGAAGTGGGCCCAGTGGAGAACTTCCTGTCAAGGCCCATCCGACGGCCACCTTGCGCGCTCGCTGACACGGGAGCTTCCTCACCGTGTGCGTGCGTGCGTGTGGTGTCCATGCCCCCCCCCCACCCCCCCTCCTCACCTGCTTCCTGCCTTCGTGGGAAAGTGGCACCTCGGCTCACGCCCTTGCATTTACAAGCCAGATGTGACTTTAGTGCATTCATGAGTCACACACACACACACACACACACACACACACACACACACACACACACACACACATTACTGCTAGTCCAGATTTAGAACCAATGACAGATTAATGATGGGCCTGTGTGTGCGCGCGCGTGTGTGTGTGTGTGTGTGTGTGTGTGTGTGTGTGTGTGTGTGTGTGTGTGTGTGCGTGGTTGGGAGGGCCTGCTACTTTACTTATAAAGGTCCGTAATGACATTCAAAGGCAGCACCCCGGACACACTTTCAGACAAGCAGATCCTCACACACTCGATCTCACTGGTTCGGATTTGCGCACACACCACCGCAAATTCACTCGGTGACATACCGAAGTGTTGCGTTTGCATCTTGGTCTTGAGGTGGGAAGGTCAAGTCCAGTAGGAGGCGGCAAGCGGAGATAAGCGCTCGCTCACGCGGCAGGCGTCAGCTGCTTCCCGCGCTCGAACACTTTCCGCCGCGTCGAGATGGAGATCTTGTTGTGCGCTAGAAGGAAAAAAAGAAACACGTTGAGCCTCGTCCGTCTTTCAACATCAAAGCCGGTCTCGCGTCCACATCCGATGTGACACTTCCAAATGAGACGATTTTGTTTGCGTGGAGCGCTCGTCTGCGGCCCTTTAATTGTTGACGGTCGCGCGGTTTGACATGGAAGAGCCGCCTTGGCGGCGAGTGAGAATAAATCACATCGAGGGATCTTTGACGGGATTTGAAACACTTTTGTTTTCTTTTGTGGTCTGCCGTTCACCGTCCGGCTGCATTACGGGGGCGCTCCGAGTCGGCGGCCAAGGCAGAAGCTACGGAATGTTTGTGCTTGCTGCCGGATGGGGATTAGTCCGCGTTCGCATCGCTCCCGCTTTTGTTTTTCTTGACGGGGGACCAAAGCACATTCTCTTGTGAAGCTCGATCACGAGAATTTGTTTCGAGGTTTTCCCCCGCAGGCGAAAGTGTTGTCGCGTGCATGCGCCGGGTGGCGCCGTAACCCCGGAGCCGGCCATGTCCAGCTGCGGGCCCGGAGGGCTACTGTGCTCCCTGTTTTCCGGCCCCCCCTCGGCTCAGATGGTCAGCTCATCAGCCGGCTCTGAGGCGACATTCGAACCATCCTGGTGATTCCAATCGGGTGTGTCGCTCCCGGGCGAGCTGGAAAGCAGGCAGGACGGCGGCCCTCCGGGACCGAATTTGGGCACCTCTGCCTGAAGCCGGTTTAGACAATCAGAAGCTCATACTCCAGTCCCGCAGGTGGCGGCAGAGTGCATTACAAGGTGGCTCTCAACCTTGTGCAGACGTTTTTTTCTTTTTTAGGGGGAGGGGGTCACTTTTTCAGCTGTGAAAACACACACACACACACACACACACCACACACACACACACACACACACACACACACACACGCGCGCGCACATATTGATATAGTCATACCTCGTTTATCGACCAATCCGTTCCAGAAGGCTGTTCGAAAACCGATTTGTTCCAAAACCGAAGCCACGCTCTTTAAAAAAAAAAAAATAATAATCTTTCTTGAACACGTCTGCTCACAATTGAACTCTTCACGAGGAATCGTCACTTCCTCGTCTACCCGAGGAAGCGTCACTTAAGCGTCACTTCCTCGTGTAAGGAAAGTGAGAGGAGTCAAATGGCACGTTCAAGTGCGCTCAGTTATTTCGAAAACCAATTTTCGGTCGTTATCCGACACATACAAAAAAAATCGGAAATTTTTGGTCGAAAAACGATTTGGTCTAGAACAGAGACGTTCGAAAACTGAGGTTTGACTGTATATCATTTTTTAAATGCATTTATACATAATTGTTGCACTGCTTCAAATAGTAACGCGGAAAGCAATGCATCCTGTTTGTAAGCGCGTAATTCGCCTTCCCAGGCGGAGGTCACAAGCTTGAGAGTAGACGCGTGACCGGCGCGCGCCCCCGAGCACGTGAGGCAGAGTTCGTGCGTGCCTGCGGCGGACGCAGTTAACACGGTCAGCAAAGTGAAGTCCGCGATAAGACGGCGAGAGGGGCCATACGCCATCCGATCCGCTCGCCGGTTACAAGATGAAGAAACGGCACGAAAGCCAACCCGATTGTCAAGATGGGGTTTGCGTTTCCGTTTCCGTACGGACGTCGGACATCCACCGAATTCTTGGATGTTGCAGGACCTGGTGGAGCCGCACGGGCCAAACCACATGTTTGGCTTTTTTCCCCCTCACGCGCGTGTCTTTGCTTCAACTCTGGAGCCCGACTCGCCTGCCTGCGCGTGTGTGCGCGCGCGCGCTTGCGCGCGGTACATATTTCTCCAATTACGCTTCAGTGATCCCTAAGAAGCTGTGCGAACATTTTTCCGCCGAGTGCGGCGCTTCCACGGCCGTGATTGGAAGCAGACGCGCGCGCGAGTGTGTGGGTGACGTTTTTTTCTTCGCTGCCCAACCAGGAAGTGGTCACGGCAACTTTCCTCTGCAGGTGTGCCACTTGGAAGCGTTCGTCTCTGTTGCTTTCGGGGTAGTCGACACACTTCCTGAAATTGATTTTCTTATTTAATGCAGGAATTTGACATCAACAAGGAATTAAAAAAATAAAATAAAACCGCATCCCTGGGGAAAAAAAAAACCCAAACCAAAATCAAAACATGATTGCTGTTCAACTCCAGTCCTGAAGGGGCAGTAATGTGCATTGCACACTTTGGGGTGTGGACGCACCAGCAGTCTCATTCGCGAGGCACAGCTTTGGCCAATTCTCACGCAGGAGTTTTTGATTTTCAAGATATTTATCTTGGTTTTGCTTGACAGAAGAAGGAAGGTCAAAAGCTCATTTTTACTTGACTTTATGACATAACATGACCCTTTTTTTAAAAAAATCTGACACTTTACAAATACTTTCAAGTATTTCAACTCAGGCTAAGACTAAAAAAAAAAACGAAGCATTTTCCCTAAATCTGATCAAACGTGCTCTAAAAACTCATTCAAACGAAGTGACTATAAAAACACACAAACCAGGATCGGACTGATTGGAACCTGCGACCCGCAAGGCCGGACTGCATGTCAACCGATTGTCCGCTGCGGACACGAGCGCTCTCTCTTCTTTGTGGTGTCAAGCGTCATCCGCATTGGCTTGGCCGTCGACAAACTCGCTGGCCCGCTCTTTGGCGGAGACAGGTCGCCGCCTCCTTTGCCTTCCGATCCGTGGTGGCGTTGCACAGAAATAGTGGCGAGCGCTCGCTGATTACAGAGTTCGGCCCCTCTGATGTGGACGGACGGACGAGGTCCAAGGCGGCCTGGCCTGGCGCGTTTTCTCACACAGGCACGCACCATCTTGTTTTTCCATTTGCAGGGAATGATGGGAAACGCAGCTGATGACGAACATGGCGAGCGACTGAAAGCAAGTTCCAAGCGCTTCATTTTTTGTTTTTTTTTTCGTTTTTGTCCACATGGGCCCTGACGCTGACTGGCGTCCAGTCTCCCATTTGTGCTGTGGGTGCTTTCGGATTGTCCGGCGACCAGTCCGTTGTTTCTCTGCGTACGCTGAGTGTGCGTGACTTCAACTTGTTGTGCCGGTCGCATTTTGTTGCCTTCAAAGCTTCATTTGAAAGGCCAACTTGGAAACGCAAAGGTGGCATCAAACCGGCGTCGGCCCCTCACAAAATCGGGATTGACCACAGGAGGGCGTCCCAAAGTCGGCTGAGGATGTCCCAAAGTCGTCCGCGATCCCCGTGAGGAGGAGCCCCTCCCGTAACGGATGGCTGGAAATTCACTTAGCTCACTCCGGTTTTGATGAGTCTTCGTTCGAAATCTTGGGCTGCTTCGAGAGCCACACCCGCGTCTCAGCAGTCACCTCAACTTGATCACCAAACTGAAAGAGCCTTGAAGCAGCTGAAAAACCGAGCCGGGCAGAATGGATTCTCGACTCCATCAAAAGGGCATCAAACGGTCGCAGCTCGCTCGGCTCGGGTTCGAACCACAGCAAAGAGATCAGACCGCAAGACTCCAGTCTGGCGTGAAAGACTTGACACTGACTCCCAGTCAGCTGGAGAATCGATTTTCACAATTCTGGTCCAGGAATTACGGAATGGGTCTGCTTCCCGAATTGGGGAAGCAAATGCTCGTTGACTTCACAGTGAAGCCGGCGCGGCTCTGAGCTCTGCACACTTGCGGGTCCGTCCGTCAGTGGAGAAGCAGAGTTCAAAGCAAACACGGTGAAGTGGCATTTAGCTGTTATGCTGCACCCGAAGGCTCGCTTTGAGGTGTGACGTGTTGCACAGAGAAAGATGGAGTGTGAGTTCTCGTTTTTTTCTTTTTAAATGCTATTTTTTTAGTTTGGGTGAACTGTAAAACTCTCAACGGGCGCGCGTGTATGTGTGCGCACTGGCCGCGGACAGCTGCAGCTTTTTCTTCTTAAAATACAGACGACAGACCTCATCAAAGCCTCTGCAGGCCTCTGCACTCACAGAGGTCACGAGGCGCCTTTCTTATGGTGCGCACTTGAGTGTGTGTGTGTGTGTGTGTGTGTGTGTGTGTGTGCGTGTGCGTGTGCGTGTGCTCATCAAGCCATGTTTGCTTTCACTCGACGAGCGTGTGGCAGCTAAAGCAGTCTGAGGTCCAAAAGTAGAAAGACAAATGCACACAGCAACTTGCAGTACAAAGTTGTTTATTTGGGTGGTTTTTTTTTCTCCTCGCCTTTGCAAAGGCAACCGAGAGTCGCCCAAAAAAAAAAAAAAAAAAAACAGAACACCAAGCATAAAACAAACAGCAACAAGATCTTCCCCCCCCCCCCGGGGCTCAAAATACTGGAATCCAATCGAGTTTTAAAAGGAGAACTTCAAGGTGTGTGTTTTAGTTTTTGTTGAAATGTGTTCCCAAATATCGATCAATGCGTGTCGACCTCACAGCGCAGAGGTCGTGGGTTCAATTCCAGCTCCGGCCTTCCTGTGTGGAGTTTGCATGTTCTCCCCGGCTGGGCCTTCGTGGGTTTTCTCCGGGTACTCTGGTTTCCTCCCACATTCCAAAAACATGCACGGCAGGCTGATTGAACTCTCCAAATTGTCCCGCGGTGTGATTGTGAGCGTGATTGATTGTTCGTGTATGCGTGCGTGCGCTGGGGCTGGCAAGCGGTTCAGGGTGTCCCCCGAAGCTGCCCGAAGACACCCGGGATAGGCTCCAGAACGCCCCGCGACCCTTGTGAGGATAAAGCGGTTCCGAAAATGGACGGGATGGATGGATGGCATTCTCATCGCGTGAATGCGCAGAGACAAACGGCGTGCACGTTTGATGATGTCACTCTTGAAGCCTTTTGCTTGATCTTCTTGATGAGGACTCATTGAAAGCAGGTGCGGCCGGCCACAGCAATTGTTTGTTTGTTCCAAAAAGCTGAATTGCACTCGTGAGCTCATCCACCGAGCGCGCGCGCGCCTGCGTAGCATCCCACTCGTCAGCCGCAGCGTCCAGGAGGAGCAGCGCAATGTCCATTGAATTGACGCAAATAGCATGACCGCAAAAAAAAAAAAAAATGTAATGAGAGTGAATAATTCCGAACTCAGTCAGATTGTATACAAAGTACGGCTCGCTGAAAAGTATTTGTACTGGGTTACCTCCCCCTAGTGACACTGGATGGTTACCAAAACTAGTTTCCATGTCAAGGATTTGCTCATTTCTCTGATTTTGCTGTTCCTGCGTGTGTGTGTGTGTCAGTTGCAGCGCGACACAAGGAAACACGCTGGCACCGGGATGACTTTTCCAGGTGCAGGGAAGGGCACGGCGCCAAAGGAACTGGGCCGCCGCTTTTCCATCTGGACGTGTACGCGGCCGCTTTTCAAACACTTCAGACCATACCCGGCTTACACGAGCCAAGATTTACGAATGGTTGATTGCAGGACGGATGGACTGGCTTTGCTCTCTCGGGTTCCTAACTGCTTCCTAACTTGCTTCCGGATTGTTTTTTGACTTGCCCACTCGGCATCCGTTGCAGACCGGTCAATCTCCCGTCTGCGGCCCCTTCTCACGATTTCTCATTTTTACCCAGATCTGGTTTTGGGACTTTTTTTCCTTGCCCTCTTGGGGGTTAAGCTCAGCTTGAGACTGTTTGTGAAAAAGGGCTCTGACTGGACCGCATGGTTCTTGGCTGCTTTTTGACTCAGGAAAATTCTTACCTGGCCGACAGTTCCGGCTGTCGCTTCAGCCTTTATCGGAACTGTCCTTATTTTGATTTTCTTTTTTTCCCTTCAAGGCCGGTCCCTGAAAATATAGTCTGACATTAAACCGGTCCGTGGGGCAAAAAAAAGGTTGGGGCCCGCTGCCGCAGGGCATTCTTCTCTTATGATGTGGCGAGAGAGACCTCTAGTGGTGGCAAAGAAAACTGCCAGACAACCAGTACGGGAGACCACACGTTTCGTTTGTATTGAAAAACAATTGCGTGACACACGCACGCGCACACACACACACACACACACGTATATATACAAAACTATGACACATTATTACTTGGAGAAAAAAAAAAAAATCAATCTTTTCACTGAAAACGATTCGCAGTATGAGGTTCCCAGAAGTGGATAGCACGACACTTCCTTTTATTGCCCTTCACGTAGCATGCTAAAAGCTACGCGGTTGTGGTGTTTGGGTGAAAGAAAATAACCAGAAGAAGACAACCTGCTTTAGCGTTTTGTTTTTTTGTTTTTTTTGGTCAAATGTGGACGTACTTCGAGGAAGCCGAAGTAATGATTCCTTCCACTCGAAAGCTTCGAACAGGACGACGGCGGTGAGGACATTGGTTGTGCGCGGTTAGTTTGTTCATTTGAGCAGCTGGTCACGGTCGCTGTGGTCTTGGGGCGCGTCTCCGTCCGCTTGAGGACGCTCGTGATCGTTCGCCGCCGCCGTGCCGTCCTCGCCGGCCACGTCCACTCCCAGCACGCACACCACACTGGAAAGATGAAACGTCGGTCAGAGGTCAAGTCGGCCTTTCCCGCAAGATTGCTGCCTTGACCAAATTATCGGGACGAAGGTGTCAAATTACGGTTTCCAGCGCAGGTGAGGGTTACAAGTTAAGGTTGTGAGCCTGGGTGAAGGGTTCAAATTGGAGTTTGAAATGAAGGTGTCGAGCTCCGGTGAGGGTTTCAAGTTGGAGGTCTTTTATGGTGTGAACCGTGAGGCTTTCGAGTCAATGTCAACTTTTCAAATTGAGGGTTTCAAAGCAAGACTCCGGTTTCAAAGTAGGGTTTCCAGTTGCAGTTTTCGAGCCTGGGTCGGGTTTCAGGCCTGGGTTAAGCTTTAGTTATTCGCCCATAAATGATCCACAGACGTCAGGCTTCGTGGGTGAGAAAACACACAAGACGCCACTTCAGATGGAGCGCTGCTATTACAAGTGCGACTTGCGTACTCCTTCTGTGTGCACTCAGCTAAAAAAATGCACACACACACGCGCACACACACATGCACAAACACACACACACGTTTTTTTTTTCTTTCCCGGTGAAACAAAAGTGTACATTTGCACTAAAAGAGTTTTCCAAGTGTTTTTTTTTCAACCAGCCGTTGCGTGGCCGCCTTGTGCCGAAAGTTCCTCATACACAACGGAAAAAGTTCAAGTCCACCCGTGCAGTTTCCAGAAGGATAACGGTGAGTGCAATGGCCGCCCCTTTTGGACGGCCCGCCGAGTGGAAAGCAATTTTACGCTGACGACAAGATCCCGGCTTGGCTGGATTCCGTGCGACAATTCCATCCCTCGTGCGTAAACACTGCGCCAAAGCATCCGGAGTCGGGAGGATTCTCTCACTCACTCACCCCAGAAGCGTGGTCGGGATGACACAGAGTCCGGCGGCGAGCAAGAAGACAAAACCGGGGTACCAAGACACTGTGGCGGCGTACAAGGTATTGAAGAGAGCCGCCGACACGTTGGCCGTCAGGACCTCCGCGAAGGAGAGCAAGGCGAACAAGGCACCTGCACGGGAGGAAAGAAGAAACAAAAGAAAGAGAGAAAGAAAAATGGCTTGAAAGATTCGAGGTGAGCGAGCGGCGGGGCCTGACGGACGCTCACCTTGCTCGGACTTGGAGATGATTTGGGACATCATGGATCGCAGCACCGCGAAGGGCATAATGGACAGGGACATGGGAACCCTCGCTAAGGACGCGACAGAGAACAAAAACACACAAGACAAGATTGCCGAGCGTTCATCTGCGGACACCTCACCCTTCGACCGTTCTCTCTGTGCTGTGCGCGCGCTCACGGCCAACGGCGAGGCACTCGAAAGAGGCCGCTGCGGCGGAATTTCCATTTTGTGAGTGGAGGTTCGGCACATAAACAGGGCGACTGATGAAATATGTTGAGGGGCGACTCAAGCCCGAGCGGGAGGGTGTCTCCAGGCTCCGATTTCGCCACGCACCAAAAATCGGGAAAAGCGAAATGGCGAAAAGAATTTTAACGCCACATCCCCACAAAGAACGTCTGAAGGAGCCAGTCACAAGGAAAGAGTCAAGCCGCTATCACCGCTGCCAAAACTCCTTTCGACTCCTCATTTCGGATTTCACGTTACCGCAGTCTTCGAGGAATCTCGCATGCTGACACGCGACACGGAATGCGCGAGTATCTCACCTAAAAACATCATCGGCGTGGTTTTGGAAAAGGCCACCGCGGTCATGCCCGCGGCCAGGGAGAGGATGCCCATCAGCACCACCAGCAGCTGCGAGGCGCCGCAGTACGTGAAGGCGGCCACGCCGGCGAAGCTGAACAGGAAAACGGTGGTGGACAGCGCCGCGCCGTAGCCGATGAGAATCTCGGTCCAGCACAGCGGCTCGTTGAGCTCGTAGAGCACCATGAGGGAGAAGCTGCCCACCGAGGCGAAGGAGAAGCTGGTGAAGATCAACAGCAAGAGGAGCAGCAGCGTGCGCCGCTGGGAGCCGGCGCCCGCAAACATCCGGTAGATGGCCGAGAACATCTGCCGCACGGCCGCCCGCCCGCCGAGGCCGCCCGGATCGGCGCCGTCGCCGTCCTGCCGTCCCACCGTCTCCTCCAAAATGAAGACGGCGTAGAGCAGGACCAGGGCCTGACAGGCGGCCGAGGTCAGGAAGGGCCCGCCGAAGCCCACCGCCCTCAGGAAGTAGCCCGTGGACAGCGCGGCCGCGCCCGACAGCAGCCCGATCATCATGTCCAGCCCGGCGATACGCAGCGTCATGCCGCGGCCGCCGCCCCCGCTCAAGTCGGCCACGTAGGCGAAGCAGCCGCCCAGAAAGGTGCCCAGGCCGCCGAAGAGGGAGGACAAGAGCGAGGCGCCGAGCAGCAGGTAGACGTTGAGCCGGAGGGAGGTCACCAGCAGCAGGGACAGCGTGTAGAGCAGCGTGCCCGCCAGGGGCAGGACGATGGCTACCTTACGCCCCGCCCGGTCGCTGTACGCCACCAGCAGGAGGGTGACCAGCAAGGACGGCGCGGCCGAAAGGATCTGAGAGTACAGCGAAAACAGGGAAGCCTGCTCCTGCACCTCCTGGAGACGCAAAAATAAACGGAAAACGGTCAGCCGTCTTCATAGCACGGCTTGCCCAGACACGCTATCACAATTGCGAGTGCTTTGCTTGCGCTTTCCGCAGCTTATCTGATGGCTGACAACTGGCCTGGAAGTAGAAGGTGCGGTTGTCGCCGTCGCTGGCGTTGGCGCACGTGGACGTGTTGTCGGAGACGGGGTAGGTGCTGTTGGTCAGCTGCTGCCACAGGCGCCGGTACACGTACTGCGGCACCAGCGGGTATGTCAGGTACGTGGAGAAGGCGTACAGCGCCACCACGGGCTCCACCAGGTAAAGGCCCTTCATGCCCAGCTTTCAACGGTGATGACATCTGCATCCGAATAAGTTGGGGTCAGCGCTTTCATTTTCTCATTTTCGTCGGATGATTTTTACAGCGGAGGTGGTTTGAGCGTCTGCACAAAACATTCAAAACCTTGAATCGTCTTGCGCCACCGCTTCGAAATGTTTAGCCTGAAAGGAGGGCTGAGGGATATGACCTTAAAATAGAATCTCTGTTGAGGTTGGGGTTTGGCCACAAAAAAACAAAAACAAAAAAAAAAAAAAATCACTTTTCCAATTTGCTCAGATAAGCAAATCGTTCGCTTGAGAGCACAGTTGCCAAAGTCGTTTCTGAACGGGTTCACAAAACCTGAAAGAAGAAATAAATAACTGAACGTACAGGAAAAGTCCAGCTCCCTCTGTTGAACTTTGAGGATGACTCTGACCTGGAAGACCAAACATCTACACGGAACACAGTTTGGAGAAAGCAGGTTGGTATTTTGGGGTTGGTATTTGCAGATAATGGGAAAATGAAAGTTTCCTTTCTTTTGGGGGGGGGGGTCCTAGTTGTCAAAACATACATGTAAAGGTGACACTTTTGTACCTATATTAAAAAAATATTTGAAAAGACGATTGCATTGATGGAAACTGAGACGCCGAAAGAGAAAATAGCAAATATCCACATATCATTGACGCTTGAAAAAAAAAATCTGTCAAATAAGATGCATTCATTCCTCTGTCTGCTCCTTTGCATTCGAATTTTGTGTCTTCATGAAGGCACTTTTTCTTTGATGTAATGGAGCAGATATCATCGAAAAGGCAGGTTCGACAATTGAACATAAAATATGCCCTCAAAACTGCAAAGTGTTAACAGCACACCACCTCCAGCTCCAAAACACTTGATTTTCCCCATGTACAGTTGTGCACGTGAAACAAAGTGGAAGCGGCAAAATAGATCTGCGCTTGCAATTTCAAAATGTGCACCGTGTCTTTTTCTGCACCTTCCACTCGGCTCCTTTCTTGTCATGCATGAAAATGTTTGAAACGTGATGCGTTAGTGCTTTAACATTGGACTACTGGCATACTTTTTTTAAACGGAGCAATGTTATTTGCTTAATGTTTTAACAACCGCTATTTGCCATCGAATTACCAGTCAGTCTCGGTTCTCCAATCCAAACGCTGTCATGTTAGTATCGTGTTATTATGACTTCTTGAACATGGAGCTACTAACTTCCCCAGACACGCAGTACGTTGCGTGCATACTGCATAAGCAAAGAGGCCCACGTCCGTTTCTAGATAAGACACAAACAATTCGAAAAATGATGTTCCCGCACATCTTGCGTGATATGCGCGCGGTTCTTACCCGCTCAAGACGTATTTATGATCATCCTTGTCTCAGGTCTGACCAGGTTATGAAGCCGGTCAAGAGTCGTATAGATTTCGGAGACGGTCGTCGAGTGACACGAGTATGCACCGCCTACCTCTAAATCCGATTGGACAGCATTACCTTCAAAACTACGCTGCCATTGGCTACTATTACCTGTCAGTTAAAAACAAACGAATCGGACGAGAACATTTTCACGCCCCGTGTTTATTCTTTTAAAATCTGTCCATTATTTACTGGGATACAAAAATATGAGTTTTGTTTTTAGAGCACGAATGACATTTTTCAAGATGCGTTGAGCGACTGAAATGTGCTGCCCAGTGCACACCCGGAAACATCGTGCTCCGCGTTCAACGTGACGCACCAGGATATTTTTCACACTCGTGTTTGTTGTAGTAAAAATATGTCTACATTTACTACATAAGATATATTTACGTAAGCGTAATATTAGAATGGTCTCTCTCATTTGTTGAGTTGTGCTGTGAAACCAGTAAAGTCCCTCCTACCTCCAAATCCGATTGGACAGTCTGCCCCTAGAAGTCCGCCACTATTGGCTAGTATAAACTGTCAGTTATAAGAACAAGTTGGACGAGGACATTCTTACTTTCCCGTGTTTAGGGTATTAAAATATCAATTTATTTGGCGTATATCAAGCGATATTAGTATTTGAGGGAAATATTTTGATATTTTTATGACATTTGTTGCATTTTGCTAAACCGCGCCAAGATAGGAGAAGGCGTCGACTGGCGTTGGAATGTACCATTCTGTCAACGCCGGGGAAGATTTTTTTTTTTTGTGTTGTGACAGCGGAGTCGAAACCCGGCGGTGAGAGTCGATAAAGCGAAGGCGACCAGGAAAAGCTTCGCTTTGCTCTATCTGTTGTTTTTGTTCGTTTATTTATTTATCCTTTACGTTGACGCCTATGGAACTGGCGTCGTCGAGGCTACCTTAAGCGTTTGCTCCGAATGTCCACTGCGTGAGCAGACAGGTTGCTTGTTGAGGTAAATGCCGGTTTGACGCAGGGATCCACCTTACGACGGCAAACTCGCGAATCAGCGATTAGGGCTAGCGGGCTAAAGCTAACGCGGCTAAGCTGATTCGCCATTCCAAGTATTTATAAATCCTGTGTATGTTATAAAAAAACAAGCCGCAATAAATTAACACCCACAAGGCGTTAACGTAAGCCTCGCGTGTCGGGTCATTTATTTTTTTGTTTAAAATAAAAGTCGTGACTCTCCGTGTCTGCCTACCGGCCTCTTGAGCCGCCTCGATGGCTTTTAACCTGGACGCGGTCGCCTTTCGCACTGTAACATATCCCTGAAATGGAATTTTGCTGTGATATCGGAACGATTGAATTCGTGTCCGTTCTGTGTATGGGCATGCAAGATGACGGGTGGGCCGAATTGTGATTTCGAAATCCTCCTCCAGCCGCAGTGAGGAAATCAATCGGATGATCGAACTGGACCATCAATTGCAGCCCGTTTGACGAATGGTTTGCTCATCTGCCTCGCAGTTTTGAGGTGCGAGGTTTGAATCTGGGCAACGGCCTTAAAGTATGGAGTACACCCAAGCACCCCAAAATGTTTTGAAGTGAACGGTTGATTGTTTATCTGTGTGCTGGATGGACATGCATGGAGACATCCGTGATCATTCATCCTGCAGCCTATTCCAGCTTATTTTGGGCGAGAGGTGGTGTACGCCCTGGACTAGCTGACATATAAACAAACAACCGTACATGCTCACTTTCACGAACTGTGAGGCGGATTTCACTGCATTTCGACTGTATCATCTTTGATATTTGTTCCATTCAGTAATGCTGTATGTTTGGATTGACTTCCTCCCTATTCTGAGTTTGCTGTCTTTCTTAAGTCCCAGTTGTAGGTCATTGCATCTGGCATCAACGATGGCCTTCAGCAAAGGTTATCGCATCTACCACAAGCTGGACCCGCCCCCTTACAGCGTCATCGTGGAGACGCGCGCCCGGGAAGAATGCCTCATGTTTGAATCGGGGGCCGTCGCCGTCCTCTGTAAGGAGTCCTCTTTTTCATCTCGCTGCCGATTTACCGCACCGCGCTTCTCACGTTTGGTTCTTCCACATCTTCAGCGGCGGCCGAGAAGGAGGCCATAAAAAACACGTATTCCAAGATTGTGGACGCCTACGGGATCTTGGGTGTCCTCCGCCTCAACTTGGGTGAGTGGCACACACAAAATGGTGTCACTTGATGACACGGACAGTGGTGCCTTGATTTACGGTTATGAGCTTTCGCTTGGCTGATTTCCTTCGCTCTGTGTTGAGAGCCAAAATTTGAGTGATGTGCGAGCTGCTCGAGGGAAATAAATGGAGCCATTAAGCGACCGAGGAGTCCTCCCATATGGACAATGAGAGCTGCAGTTGCCCATGCGTTTTCAGCCATTTCCTGAACGAGACATACAAATACAAAATGAGAATACTCACAGAGAGAATCTGCAGCTCCTGGATTCACTCACGAGACTTTTTTTGGGGGGTAATTAGTGTTGGGCAGTATTTTTATCGCTAAATATATATGTGTATATAGAGAGAGAGAGAGAGAGAGAGAGAGAGAGAGAGAGAGAGAGAAACAAACATACATCCTCACTGCTGTACTTTTTTGTTTCTACTTGATTCAAATTAATACTGAGGGAAAAAACTGTTTCAAAGCTTGCATGACTGACTAACTTCTCTCTAATAGTATGTTAAAAAAAACGGCAAAACTAATCGAAGATTGTGTTTTAAGGCCAATTCTCCCAGCCATCCATGCCATGTAAATCCAGCCTTCGACTCCATCTTGTAATCTGCTTTCACTTGTCCTCTGCACGACCTTGAAGGCTGAAATCACAACAAGCGAAACAAATCTCATTCTTCAGCGATACAGTGACACCCAGTTTATTAAAAAAGGAAGAAAGAAAGAAAATCCACCCAAATGTTCAATCGAACCATATGCTTTCATCTCACAAAGGTGTGCTAGCTTAATGCTAACACGCAATGCAAAATGACATAGAAAATGAGCATTGGCTTTACGGTGATTCTAAAGCTTCAAACAGCACTTAGCTAAAATCACACGGAGCAGCACCACACCGAAACAGAGTACATCAATTCTCCCTGCGCAAAACACTGAACGGCGATATAGCGAGCGTCCACTGGATCCGGCGGTACCATCCAAGTCCAATCAACCTTGCAAAGACGGTGACCCTCTTTCCTTGCCACAGGCGACTCCATGCTCCACAGCCTGGTGGTGGTGACGGGCTGCAGCTCGGTGGGCAAAGTGCAGGAGTCGGAGGTGTTCCGCGTGACTCAGACGGACTTTGTGTCCCTGAAGAACGACCCCGGCGATGAGGAGCGCATCGGCGAGGTGCGCAAGGTGCTCAACTCGGGTCACTTCTACTTTGCCTGGTCCGCCTCGGGCGTCAGCATGGACCTCAGCCTCAACGCGCGCCGACGCATCCTGGAGGACACCACGGACAACCGCTTCTTCTGGTAGGAGCACTACCCTCGGAAGCAGATCATTCGATTTTAGCAATCCCGCGCAAGAGTAATGGATGAGGCCTTAATCAGCTCATTCACGGACACCGACGTCCATCCGTTGGGTACGTTTTCAACGAGTCGGCGCAAAAAAGGGTCCGGCCCAAATTGTCAGGTTTGTGACCCACCCACCAACTGATGCCAGTTGATGGTGGCATCACATTGCTTCGGTCTTGAGCACAGCTTTTGAGTAGAAGACAGGGATCAGGCGACGGGGGAAGAAATTTCAACAAGTTGGCAGTCATATAAGGTGACGCAGATCATGGAATGAATAAGGAATGCCGTGTAAAAACACAACTGGCGGTGAACTCTAACCAGACGGCGAGTCAGTGTCGCTCAAGGCGCGTTTCTTGTGTGCATTTCTGTGAAGAAATGATTGTTTTGCCGTCCTAAGTCCTTTCTCAGTCTTGGTTTTCCTCGTCCTGCTCCTGTTTGCTGCCAGGAACCAGTCCCTGCACCTGCACCTGAAGCACTACGGCGTCAACTGCGACGACTGGCTGCTGCGCCTGATGTGCGGCGGCGTGGAGATCCGCACCATCTACGCCGGACACAAGCAGGCCAAGGCGTGCATCTTCTCGCGCCTCAGCTCGGAGCGGGCCGGCACGCGCTTCAACGTGCGCGGCACCAACGACGACGGGCAGGTGGCCAACTTTGTGGAGACGGAGCAGGTGAGCGCCATGAACAATCAACGCATATTTTTAGGGTCTGTCATCTTTTCCGATTTGCCGGTCCGTTGTGTGGCAAATACAGTAGTTGGAATCCCAGCGTTGATCAATAGTGGGACGATTTTCTGGTCTGCGTTCAAGAACGAGCGTTTACTTTTCCTCCCGCCGTTTCAAAACAGATGGGTGGACTTTCTACTCTTTGTCAAAAGAGGCTCGCTACTGTTTGTGGGGAAAATCAACAAACAAATGGAGAGAGGGAAAGCTTACTGTGACTGAGATCTTGGGGTCTGATTTGAGAGAAATTCGGTTGCGTCCAGTGATTCGGATTGTGATGATGATTGTTTTTAGTCTTCCGCACAAGCCTTTTTGTTCCCGTTTTCAGGTTGTTAAAGCAGGCAATTTCGCTATACCCATACTCATGAGTTATCTTCAAAAGGTTTTTGCAAAAACACATTTGACTCTCACGAACTTCCATGAGAAACTATGTTTTGGCTTGCTGACATTTTCAATGCGTCCTTTTTGCGGAACAGGCCATCTTCCTGGACGACAGAGTGTCGTCTTTCATCCAGATCCGCGGCTCCATCCCGCTGTTTTGGGAGCAGCCGGGCATCCAGGTAAGGCTAAAAGAAAACCCGCTCGTACGCTCCCTCGGTCAGCCGCTCCTGAAAAGCCGAGCGCGCGTGGCCGCCGACGAGGCTGGCGTCGTTCCCGGCTGTGACCGAGGTTCATTTCACTTTGGCGCGTCGGGAGCGTTGCCTCTGGCGCCCGCGGTGGCAGCCGAGCGTTTGCCGTTTAACTCATCTCCGTCTTGGTGCTGTGTTCAGAAAAAGTCCCTTAAGGGGGTTTTGTTGCACCTGAACGACAATCGGCAAGCCAGTCGACGCGATGACAACCCTCACTTGGTATAAGGCTCTTTCTTTCTTGCTTGTTGCGCTCTTCTCGGTTTTGGGCTCAGGCGGTTTGTCGGCAATCTGTGCGGTGTCACGCCAACGAAATACACGGACGGGGACCCTGACTGACCAGCGGCCCCCAATTTCTGCTGTAAGCCGCAGCTCGACCGAGCTGAAAATAAAATACAGCAAGTAAGATACTGCCATGCCAGTCAATGCGGGTAAGGAGAAGTGCAGCCACCAATACACCTTCAACCAGTCATCGAGCGCGACAATCAGTCAAACAAGCCACACATCACAAATATGCAGGTACGTACACTCATCGGGCCATTTGACTCCATTGTTCTAAAATATATAAATTAAGCGTCTACATATGACATGGGGTCAGGCCTGGTGAGTGACGTGGGAGCCCAACTCCTTAGTCGTAAGTCAAGGTTGCACTATACCGCAAAACCATCGCGCCACCTTTTCCAAGACTGCATAATAATGCGAGGTGCCACTTGGTCAACACTGCCGCCTTTTCCACAAATGACTTTTTTTCAGACTTCTGATTGGATAAACCCAGTAAAACTCCACTTGGCCTTTTTTTTTTTTTTTTTTTTTTCGGGGG